TATTTTCACTTCAATTTATATTAATATGAATTGAACCTCTGAGACTCACCATTTTAGGCATTAACTAACACATTTTATCCTCTCATAGGTACATCAACATTACCTCATAAATTCAAAACATCAAATCATGAAAATATGAATCATATGGAGAACGCACGCGATTTATTTTCATGACGAATGAGTAATCCAATTGTGGATCATTTTTGTGCATTTTTTAGCAGCGTTCGTCGCCCTCGACACACCGTATCTAATGTGTATTGCTCCTACACCTTCTGTCTCAGATGACCACCTTTCTCTAAGTGCAGGCTATGGACTTATTCCCTTCTTTGTTCCCAGCTTTCTTTGTTATACTTGCTTCCCCCGCCGCGGGGCTACGTACGTTGTTTTGGCCACGAGGCGAGCACCGACATCACATGCACGACCGGACGATGTTATGGTTGCAGTAGGAGGCAGTCGTGAGCCAGGTAGTGATGTGATACATCATAATGTGTCTCAAAGCAGTGTGATGTGGTACATCATAATGTGTCTCAGAGCAGTGTGATGTGGTACATCATAATGTGTCTCAGAGCAGTGTGATGTGGTACATTTAATGTGTCTCAGAGCAGTGTGATGTGATCTATCATAATGTGTCTCAGAGCAGTGTGATGTGATACACCATAATGTGTCTCACAGCAGTGTGATGTGGTACATCACAATGGGTCTCAAAGCAGTGTGATGTGATACATTTAATGTGTCTCAGAGCAGTGTGATGTGATACACCATAATGTGTCTCACAGCAGTGTGATGTGGTACATCACAATGGGTCTCAAAGCAGTGTGATGTGATACATTTAATGTGTCTCAGAGCAGTGTGATGTGATACACCATAATGTGTCTCACAGCAGTGTGATGTGACATATCGCAATGTGCACTAGGAATGAGCAGAAATAGTTTCTATACAATGAACAAACTTTAGAAATAAAAACAAAATGAAATGCGAAAATGAAGGAAGAAAGTTCCATTAAGCTGCCACTTTAATCTAATTAACTTCCTTGACGCCAGTAATTGACTTCTCTACGAGCGCTCAATTGTACTGATTTAGAAAGTCGAGGAAGTCGTCAGGTTTAGGCACATTGCGCAAATTTGGAGGGAACGGAACTTTGACCTCCTGCTGCTAATATTCTTGATGATCAATTCGCGAGCATTAACCCCGTTCAGGTGATGATCGGCCAACTGAAAATATCGCTATCTTTTAATAATATTGTTACCAACAATCGAGTATACCTCGCGTTGTATTCTACGAGCTTTCTTGAGGTTATCCTTCAGTGATGGAGTTTTTCTTTGTTCATGAGCAAGCGCTTATGTGGATGCAGTTTCAAGATTCAACAAAATCTTGATAAAACATCGCTTACAATGCAACCTTGTTAGCACTATTTATTGCAGGTGCATTTTAATTCAGCGGGAGTTGTATGAAACCAGTTTTTTTTTTCTGTAAATCTTTCATGTTTTCTATGCATTTAGAAGTCAGACGTTTTTGCTAAAAGCTCTCTAGGGATTACCACGGCGAATGAAGTACATGAGGACGAAATGAAACGCACATTCAAATTAATCTGAAAAAAACAAGTGCACATCATAAGTTTACAAAATGACAATTGCAGAAACGAAACATGGGAATAAACTCCGAACTTGACGTTCCTCTGTAGACTTTCCTCTTAATTCTAATAAATTATTGAGTCAACCAGTTCGAAATTAACCTTTTTATCGGATAACGTCGGTCATGAATGCTGTCCTATAGAGTGGTACGGTTGCAATGCCGTGACCGTATCGATCACGAATATTTTCTGCTGTAATGACAATCTTATAGTTCTAAATTGACCGTACCTAGACCGTATTCCGTAGTCTCACCTCTTTGAAAAATATCTCCAGTTCTGAGTGGCCATAGAATTGTTAACAGCCGTACTTCTGAACGGCTGTAAAGGATCCGTCTTCAATGACTTTGGTGCCAGCTCGTGGCCGTACTGCTGCTGCTGTGTCCGCCGTACTTTTGAACTTCCTTCAATGGGTCGTCGGTTGTTTCTCGGCTTCTCTAGCAATCGAATAACAACTGGCGCGGACGTTGCGTTGTGGTTGACCGTACTGAAATATAGCGGAGTCTTGGTCGTCACTTGGATATTGTAGATGCTCTTCCAGGGGTGGTAGTATTTTCTATCAGTCTATCTTTCTCGCTGACGATTTTTCAAAAAAAGAAAGGAGTCGCCGGCAATACGGTCGCGGGCGTCACGGCGTCTACAGACTGTAGGCCGTGACGGGTGACAGTAGCTCCAAAAATATGAATCTCTTCGATTCGAACTTGTAATCCATATTTACGTGGTCGCCGCACACACTTATGCCTATCACTAGAATTAGATGCCGAATTCCTCTACTCATGGAATTTCGTTCGTGATACGCTCGCCAACGTTCGATGTAAACAAACCCAATCTCACGGTGTCGAAACCATCGTCTTATTCACACTCGAACGATTGAATCCACATTGCTAACAATCTCAACCCCCGCACCCTATAGCTTTGTATTATATTTATAACAGAAGTAATTTATTAATTTACCCTCAAACTTCGTTCTGTACAGAGAGGAGTTCAAAGCTTCTTTATACTATAGAACAGGCTTGATTTCTAATCTTGTCATTCGCAAAAGCTATTCCACCGAATACATTTAACAATTGGACAAAAAATTATACCATTATCTGAATAATTTCTAAAAATTATCATCAGAATTCGTTCCAATCACCTATCTATTTTATTTTTGAGGAATTCATCGATATGTTATCGAAATTTCCACTAGCACAGCTGCTCCAAACCGCCTATAACGGAGGTTCGTCTCAGTCTTGCCCGCCCCATTCTTTGCCCTGACTTGTGCGTCGGTTTTCCTTTGCAATCTGAAACCTGCCGTTATTTCCTGCCAATTTTTATCAGTCCTCCTCGAGGAAGTTTAAATGAAATCTGTACGTGAAATTTCCCACAAAAATATCGCAGCTATTTTTTTAAGAGATGCCTAGAGCTTTTCTTCTCTTCTTTGCAACGCCCAAGGAGCGCACATATGCCATTTGACTGATTTTAATTACAAAAATATCTGCACTCCTAAGTACTTGCTAGACGGAGAGTAAAGTTCCAGATGATTTGTTCACTGACGCTTTAAATAATTGATTGAGAAATGTATCGGATGTCATTTTAATACATTAATTTTCTTTATTGTTTATATTTGTTCGCGAAGATACCAGTTAAACAAAATACTCAAAGATCACCCAAAACCCAGTTTGGTAGGATGCTGGGTTCTCGACATTGGAAAACCTTCATTACAAACCTAATATCGACGCATGGAAAGGCCCACAATTTCCCCGCTGGTTGACAGCAATCACGATTGCGACGCTTGATTTGGGCCACTGTGTTCGGTGGCCACTGGATGGCTGGCGGTAGCCCGCTGATAATTTCGCTGTGAATTTCCAGCGACCTGCAAAGCGATAATGGATGCTGTCGTTACGTATTGTGTTTTATGCGAGTGAAATCTGGTACATTTAATACAACGCCCTGGTTTCATCAGAAATTCACTACAATTGCTTTCATAATACCCGTTTAATAAACGTAAGAAGAACAGTTACGAGTCCAATACACTTTTAGTCTATTGATGACATAAATAGACACGGATTTATGAGGTGGGTCAATTCAGAGGAGCTGCACGGTTTACGCATCGTATTTTATATCCTTATAGTGCTGGATTTAGCAAGCGCAAAAAAACTGACTCGAATGTGTATGAACTCGTCACTTTGTTTAACTCTACAGCCGAAAACTGAGACAAGGAAAAGAAGAAACAAATTAAACTTGAAATTCGAGTCGATGCTGACAATATCACAGGTCACACGCGATCCTTGTTTAGAATGGCAGGTTGCATGGCTCAGCGTGTCGAATTATTCAGGCAGAGTCGTGCCAGATTGTATCCGGTAAAAATTTCCGTCGTACGGTCTGACCTCAGCGCATCGCCGTTATAGTCGTGAATATCGGACTCCAATAGATGGCCAAAGATCGGTCATTGAAAATTCCCCGAAATCTGTACCATAGTTGTTTTTTTTTTATTAGAATTGAAGCCCTGCATTAACATGACTATATACATTATGGGCTGCGTTCAGAACCGAAAGGCATCAACAAAATCTAGTTGTTAAATGTAGAATGCATATTTATTGCTCTTGTATTTTCCCGCGCAATAAATTACAAATAATACCGATTCTTAATCTCATAAAGAATTGCGAAAATGTGTGCCAAAATTCCTGCTACATGAAATAATATCGCTGTTGCTTGCGTAGTAAATAAAATGGTTCAGGATTGTTGTCTTTAACGTTAAAAATGTTTCGAATGAATTTGAATAATTTTAATATTCAGTTTCATCTTGCCAGGAACTCTTCCCTTCGTCAAAAACTCAGACAACTTCCTCGAAAATTGTTTAAATTTAACCAAAGCGAAGCCATCCGGCGAGTTGGAACTTCACTGCCTCCTTTGATCCTCAAGACGCTGCGATGCAGTCGGAAGTGCTTTTTGTACAGATCGAGACTGCGTTTCAATTGATTTCTTGGTCAGACGTACTGTAATAAAATACATACATATATTCCCACGAGTCTAGTGCCGTTCTTCCATGCCCTTGAGTTGCGTCTGTCCTTCGCAGGAAATATAATTCTAGACCACTTTACTTTTACCTTTGAAGTCATACGAACTTCATCAACAAATGAATTCCCTGCAGGGAAGCTTCATCATACACTTCATTTGGCATTCTGCCAGCGACTCTGTTTTACACTACAACTTGTTATCTTATCCAATTTACATATTCTAAACATGCCTAGTGAAAAAATGGCTTGTGTTGCATGGAGAACCTGATTATCTCAAGCGTCAAATTCTTTGGCCAGTTGTAAATTCCTTATTTTTATATATCTAAATTCAAAGTTTCTTCATTCTAACCCTTATCTGTGCCTGTTCTCAACAGCGGCAGTAGAAGCTTGTCTGTCTGACGGCCTCAAGCGGCGTTCCCTGGGACTCTTCAAGACCTCCTCCACGACGGCGTTGATCCACAAGGTCGGTAAGACCTTCCCACCCGCCGGCGTCGTGTCCAAGATTGTCCAAGACATGGAGGCCTCAGACCCCAACAGGTCAGGATGAAGTAAAACTCATAGTCGCCCCAGAATATCGTGATGAACAAGCGCACGGTGATTGATGATATGATGAGTACACTCGGCTATGATAATTATAGAGAGTGTGTTTAATTTTATTGATGTATTGCAGGCTAAGACTGACAAGGTACTCCACTTATTTGATGGTTACATAACAAGCTTTGCTGAGCAGTAATGCAGTGCAGAATTATTCAGGCTTCAACTCACTTGATATTAAAACCTTCGACTCGACCACCTTATCAACTCTTGGCCGCTGCTGCTCAGGCGCAGTGGCAGTAGTGGGGACAGCAGCACCCGTCTCCCCAAGCCTCCCCTCACCAAGAAGAACTCAGGGAGCGTGGCTTCGGCCCTGCCTCCGCCCCCACCACGGTACCTCTGGATCAGGGTTGCCCTCTTCCAGAAGACCTTGTCCATCATCATCGACCATCTCGTCGAGAACAGCAGGTTCGTCTCGAACATTCACCGGCGATCTTACTCACATTTTTGTTACAATGTTTTTCTCGCGTACCCTCCTGTTGTTTTATTTTTTGAAGTCCTGATACAATAAAGTTTTCTTCCTTACTATTCGTTTTTTCCATTATCTTTTACCTTCATATTTATTCGCTGAAATCTTCTTCTTCTATCCTGGGTTATTCCTTGAAATTCTTTTTCAGTCCAGTTTACGTCAAAACATACATTTCTGTTTTTTTTAAGACTTCATATTTCATTTACACGGCGTTCCGATTCTACGTTTCCTTGATCCCCTCCTCTTTTATGTACTGCTGAGCCCTCGTAATTTTTTTTAAGTTTTTTCATAATCTTACTTTTTCCCTTTATTCTCTTGTCTTGTTCGCGAATAAAACAAGTTCACAAGGAAATGCTGGTAAAGCGAGGAATGTTATCGTTCATGGTGGAAATCCTCTCAGTGCTTCCACACAAATACTTAGATCCCACAGCTTCTTAGTTTTTAGTGCTCATAGTACCCTTAGTGCCGACCATAAGTTAGTTCTGAGTACTCTTAGTCCAATATAGTTCTTAGTACTCTTAGAACCTTAGTTCTTCAACACAAATATATATTCTTTATACATCATTAATTAGTTCTTCAACAAAGCTTAGTGCTCGTAGTCGTTTGATCCTTAAACATAAGTTAATAGTACCCTTTTCTTAGCGTCAACCTTCTTAATAACAAGGAACTGGTGATCTCTTCGTGGAATAATAATAATAATAATAATAACTAAAGTATCCGGTCTTGCGTTACAGCAAATACTACGAGAAGGACGCTCTGGCGGCAGACCCTGAGTACGGCACCATCCTGAGCTCGCTGCTGGGTGAGATGTAGGATATCTATTAGGAGCGGGGATGTGTTAACGCATCTGCTTGTTAAGAGATGATGAAAAATTACGTTGGATGGCTGAAATAGCTGAAATTTTTCAATAATGGTGACGAAATGATTTAAATTAAACTTAAATTCGACTAATCTATTTGACTATCGACTAATTAAATTTGACTAATCTATCAGAATGGGTCGAAGTTCTATATTCCAATTGTATTAGGAATTAGCTCTACACTTTCTATCACTTGTAACGGTTGCTATATAAGGAGAGACTTGATGTGATACCATACTTTGTTTTGGTTCAATGTTCAATGATCTATCAAGTATTTATAATCATCTTCCTTGTCATCCTTTACTGAACATGCAATATTATCTTGTTTGTCATAACAGTGAGAACGTGTTTTAGTTAATGAGGAGAAGGTGCAAGATTTTGTTTACTTGAGCCGTTGAGAGTGGGTGTGTAATTTCGTTTACATGAACCCCTAAGAGTGCGTTTATAAAAACAAAACACTCCCCCCAGTGGGGCCATGTGCGCTGGACTACTCACGCATGAAGACCGTAGACCACCTGTGGACAGACCCTCCTGCAGACGAGCTGCTGCAGCGACAGCTCATCACCTCAGCCCACCACATGTCGGGCCCACCCACCCCACCGCCACCCCGCCGCCCAGGCTTGCATGTAGGTGCATCTCATGCAACTAATGCTATCTCATATCATGGTGACTAATGGCTGGATTACTACACATAATTCGTAAATATTTGCGTTATTGTTTAGAATGAATTTTAACCATCCGTTCCCCAATTCCTGTAACCCTCACCCCATTCCCAGCTACCCTCATCCAAATTTCCCACAGCCCTCACCCCAATTTCCGGTTACCCTCACCCCAATTTTATGCTACCCTCATCTCAATTTCATGCCACCCTCTACCCTCAGTACCGGCGCCCCAACGGCGGAGGCTCGAGCCTGAGCGAAGACAGCAGCGGCAGCGGCGGCAGCTTTGGCCAGAGCTTCTCCTGCTCAGCGCCCAGCGGCGGCGCCCTCAACGGCTCCACGGGCGCCGCCCTCGCCACGGCGCCCGCCGGTGGCGTCCAGAGCAACGGCAGCATCGGCGACCGACGCCAGCTGTACTCCAACGCCCGCGACTACGTCGATTCGTTGCATCAGAACCACAAGGCGACGTTGCTGTACGGCAAGAACAACGTGCTCGTCCAGCCTGTGAGTCATACTAAGAACATGCTTTTGATTACTCTTAATCAATGCTTAATACGATTACTATAACAGATAATTTAATTCTCTGAATATTGTCGAAGATTATAACATTAATTTTGATAATTACGATGACACCATGCGAAAACTCAGTTGGACTGCAGCGACCATGAGAGCTTGACAATTAATTTTGGTATGCATACATCCGACTAAAAGAGAATGAAATGTGATGAACTGCGTAATTCATCGTCTTGAATATTGTGTTAATGACGGCTTATAGATGGATAGATGACTCGATTTATTGATTAATAAGAGGTAGATAAATAGATCATGGGTAAAATGGGTTTAGATAATTTAAAAGCGTGTTATTTAATGGTCGCGTTTGAGGATGTGATGTCATGGTCGCGTTTGAGGATGTGATGTCATGGTCGTGTTTGAGGATGTGATGTCATGGTCGTGTTTGAGGATGTGATGTCATGGTGGTTTTTGGGAATGTGATGGTAGTCGTGTTTGAGGATGTGATGGTCGTGTTTGAGGATGTGATGGTCGTGTTGGTGTGATGGTCATGTTTGAGGATGTGATGGACGTGTTTGAGGATGTGATTGTCGTGTTTGAGGATGTGATGGTCGTGTTTGAGGATGTGATGGTAGTGTTGGTGTGATGGTCAACAGAAGGACCACGTGGAGGCGATGCCAGGTTACCTGTCGCTGCACCTGACGCCCCCCGACGCGCTCGTCATCAAGTGGACGCCCAACCACCTCATGAACGGCCAGCCCTCGACCGAGGCCATCAACGGCCAGCTGCAGGACAAGAGGTCAGTGTGGTCCATCAGTGTGGTCCACTAGTGTGGTCTACCAATGCAGTCCACGTGTGCGGTCCACCTCTGCGGTCCACCTGTATGGTCCATCAGTGTGGCCCATCGGAGTGGTCCAGGTGTGCGGCCCACCTCTGCGTTTCACCTGTATGGTCTATCAGTGTGGTCCTTAACACACACGAGAGCGTGGTTTAAAAAAACTTCAGTATCTTAGTATTATCATTTCACACTAATTCTCATGACATGAGAAACATTTTGCCAATAATAAACGCTTACTATACACATGTTCGCTACTGCTCAATACTGCGTTCAGTCCACCCTGATGCTGCGAACATAACAGCCTGCCATAAGTAACTTCGCGTACACATCTAGGCAACGTTGTACATTGTGGAAAAGTTTAATTCCGATAAGCATATTGCAGTACGTGCTATGAACTCACATTAGACAGTCACGTCTCTTTGTCCTATCCTTATGCTCCTGATATGCTTTGTGGTATTCTTAGTGTACCGTAAAGCATACCATTTACTTTGGGACAGTCTCACCGGCACACCGCGAGTTCTCGCCAGAGAACAAGCGAGTAAATCATAAACATGTTATACAATGGTCCATGTTCATTCTTATCATGCTTTTTATCGAAATTATTATTCGGGTTTCTTTAAAATACTTATTTTCGAAGCCGTTTTACTAATATATTTTAAATTATACGAGTTTTATCCCACAGATACTTCCTCTGTGACGGATACTTTCAGAAGAGGTCAGCTGAGAAATGTTGCTGTAGAGTAGCCTTGTTGGTTGACACAACCCTCCGTTGTCAGGCTGCTACCCTTGTTCCATAACCGCCACTAACCTCCCTTGTCACGCTGCTACCCTTGTTCCTCCCATGTCAGGCTGCTACCCTTGTTCCATAACCGCCACTACCCTCTCTTGTCAGGCTGCTACCCTTGTTCCATAATCGCCACATCCTCCCTTGTCACGCTGCTACCCTTGTTCTTCCCATATCAGGCTGCTACCCTTGTTCCATAACCGCCACTATCCTCCCTTGTCAGTTTGATACCCACGATACTGTTGCCATTCCTTGCCTGCTATCCTTCTCCCATGGTTGCTTCTGAGGACCTTCATTTCATACCAGCTGCCACCGTCGCTCCATGCATGGCTGCAGCTGGTTGCCCTGTTTTTACTAGCTGCCACAAACGCGCCTCTGACTGCTGCTGGTTACCTCGTTTCACCAAATTCCTCCATCGCTCAGAGACGCTGAGACTGCCATTACTTCCTCTCTTACTTTCAGGAGCCTGACTAGGGATCGTTTTTAGACCAATTTCCTGTTGCCGCTCAGAAATTTAAGAAACTGTGTCCTAATGTAAAATCTTACTTTGTAAGGAACCCCGGAAGAAATTAAAAATGAGATGCGAGTCTGTACTAGATAAGGGTACAAGAATTGATTAAATGTTTGCCCACCAAGCTCCTCGATATGGCTATGAGTGGCGTTCCAGTCTCGCATGGTTACATTTAACATAGAAGTTCCAACTTTTTCTTTTATTCTCTATGCTTTACTTGACCTGTTTGCCTCCCTCTCATTATCCTGGTTTGTCTCTGTTCACGTTCTATCACCTTTATCATCCCGTAATTCATCTGTTCCCTATTGTGATGACAAAAATTCTGTGTTAATCGTACATCCTTAATTCATCACTCCATGTCGGTTGCCCCTAACCTCAATTTCCTCTCACTTATACTGTTTCACTTCATCCCCTTCTTCCTTTTCACGCATCGTGCACGCTGCCTCCCTATCTTATCCTACCTCTTCTACTCACTCCTTCGCCTTCCTACAAGGCAGACACCGAACCGTTTTTGCCCACGCGCTCATGAATGCGTGTCGGTTTTTGAGTAGTTATCAGCATTTTAGTTATCGACTCATAATCAACCGGTTATGTTAAGAAATTGTTCAGCACGGCATACACATGATAATGTTTGCATGTTTTCAGCGGCGGTTCACTATTACATCAAAGCTTCTTCATAATTAATTGGTGGATACAGCCAGTAGAGGATGTTCAGCCTGGGTATGACATGCAAGAAAACTAAATTAGGTGTACAATGTGACTAAAATTGTTGAATGCTAAAATTCTCTCTTATTTAATTTCATAAGTGTCACGATGTTAATTTGTTTCTCCATGTTATGTTCTCTGGCTTCAAAACATAATTCTTATATCTGGCATTAAAGCATACCTGAGCTACAATCGTCATGTAATATAATTAATGTCTTTAATCAAACACATTGCTGTGAATTACTTATGCCAGATATATTTTGCTGAAAACTTGTTCTTTTCGTTCTACTCCAAATTGTGCACTGAATTATTTCGTATGAAAGACGAAATTATGAAAGTGTGAGGCGGCTAGATTCCCTCGTGATGTTATTTCTAACATGCAACGTACGCGTGCGACGATCGAGCGCTATCAACCACCGATTTCATGAACGTCTTCTTTTTAGTTTTTGCACGAAGCTCTTGAATAGGGCCCAATATTGAAGCTGATTCCGTAGTTCATCTACAGGGCCCGAGGTTCACAAGATTAGTTGCTCTCAATAATAAAAAATAATAAAGTTTATTATTAATAAAGAGTTTGCAGGGGACCGATGGTGCAACTCCTCCTGACACTGCATCGACCTGCTGAAGCAATATTCCTGCGTAGCTTGGGAACGTAGGGAAATATATTTAGTAAACCGGGGAGCGGAAAATTTCATTTGTTTCAAGATAGAATATTGGATAAACTTAGAGAGTTAATATACGAAGAGCGGAGCGGTATAAATACTATAAATACTGGGTTGGATTACTAGTACACAGTGTCAGAATACTAATGTGAAAGGACAGAATACTCGGAAGCATGACCAAAATACTCGTTCTAGAGTTCAGAATACTAGTTTGTTTAGTCAGAATACTCATATGCTGCTTCAGAATAGTTGCGTATAGGGCCAGAATACGAGAATTCTGGATCCGCATACGCGTTTTTCAGAGTTAGAATTATAGTGAAAAAATAGAATACTAGCGCTCAAAGTCTGAATATTCGTATGCAGGGCCATACTACGAGCATACATGACCAGAACACGAGTATATGCAGAGTCAGAATATATGTTTGCTGGATCAGAAGAAGAAGAGCCGGAATACCCGTATGGAGAGTCAAAATACCCGTGTGCAGAGCCGGAATACCCGTGTGCAGAGCCGGAATACCCGTGTGCAGTGCCGGAATACCCGTGTGCAGAATCAGAATACCCGTGTGCAGAGTCAGAATACTCGTGTGCAGAGCCGGAATACCCGTGTGCAGAGTCATAATACCCGTATGGAGAGTCAAAATACCCGTGTGCAGAGCCGGAATACCCGTGTGCAGAGTCAGAATACCCTGTCTCTTATACACATCTAGATGTGTATAAGAGACAGGAATACCCGTGTGCAGAGTCAGAATACCAATTTTCAGTGTCAGAATCCCAGTTTTCAGTGTCAGAATATCAATTTTCAGTGTCAGAATACCAGTTTTCAGTGTCAGAATACCAGTTTTTAGTGTCAGAATACCAGTTTCCAGTGTCAGAATACCAGTTTCCAGTGTCAGAATACCAGTTTCCAGTGTCAGAATACCAGTTTCAAGTGTCAGAATACTCGTATGGAGTTATAAACCGTACCCTATCGTTACCTGAAGATCGCTGGACGCATGTCGCTGGAAAGTGTCGGGGTCTCGCCGTCATAGCGCCCCTTGTCTCTCACAAATGATCGGCCTCGACCAACCCTCGTTTATCCGGCGTTACTCGGAGATCCCGACGCTGTTGTGAGTCCTCGGCCCGCATCACCTGCCTTGCCTGTAATTGATGATGGCAATTAATGGCTTTTATTTTGCCTCGGAACGCTGCAAGGTGCGGGAGTCACGGTGCTTCCTGTGTGGCCCTCCTGTGTGAGGGATACAGAGGGTTACGGGACTTCTTGTGTAACACTCATGTTTGAAGGATACAGAGGGTTACGGTGCTTCCTGTATAGCCCTCCTGTGTGAGGGATACCGAGGGTTACGGTGCTTCCTGTATAGCTCCTGTGTGAGGGATACCGAGGGTTACGGTACTTCCTGTATAGCTCCTGTGTGAGGGATACAGAAGGTCACGGTACTTCCTGTATAGCTCCTGTGTGAGGGATACAGAAGGTCACGGTACTTCCTGTATAGCCCTCCTGTGTGAGGGATACAGAGGGTTACGGTGCTTCCTGTATAGCCCTCCTGTTTGATGGATTCCGAGGGATACGGTACTTCCTGTATAGCCCTCCTGTGTGAGGGATACCGAGGGATACGGTACTTCATGTATAGCCCTCCTTTGTGAGGGATACCGAGGGTTACGGTGCTTCCTGTGTGGCCCTCCTGTGTGAGGGATACCGAGGGTTACGGGTCATCCAGTGTAAAGCTCCTGTGTGAGGCCTCCTGTGGGTCATGGTTCTTTATACAGATTTTGAAAAATTAAGAAAGATTCTCTTCCTAGCTCTTGGCAAACATTACAATTTCTAGGATTTCCTTTCAGTTTGATGGCCCGTAAGATATGCAGCGAGTATTATTTTTAGGTGATCCAGTCATGCCGGTTATAATCTTCTTTGCTTTTTCACAAATTAATTATTATTATTATTAAGCTCCCTCAACAATGATCTCATTCTTTTGTTTTGCTTTAATAATAATTTTCTCTATTTGAGTTTTACAGAATGCGTATGTATATTGCAGCAATGTAGCATAGCTCATTATCCGGGCTGCAGCAGGTGAAGCCATTATTGTAACTATTTATGCGACGTTGTATGAACAGCTTTGCCTGCTTATGACCATAGCCTCCATCTTCTCTGGGTCCAACACAGTGAACACGTGCAAGTTGATCCGCATTTCTTTGCTCGCCTTACCTCGAATTATAGACACTTTTTCATGCCAAGAAAGTTTTGAACCTTTTTGAATGCTTATGCTTGAAAACTATGCTGCATCGTGAGCCTCGTACTGCTTATTTGCACAAAGCTTCTCCCTATAATGTGGAAGCGCCATCTATGCTCGAAAAAATTCGTTTGAGAAAACTTGGTGCTTAGCAAGAACAGGTCATCGTCACGCTAAGCAAACCAAGATATAATTTATATATATGACAAACATTCATTTGATCCATAAGCACTTGTCTAAAATAACCAATTTTGCTCAACTTCGTGCGCTTTGAGTAGCTTTTGCTTCAAGTAATTTGTGAGTGACCAGCGATGACGAGCTCGGCCCGCACGTCGCTGTACTGCACCTCAACTGAGGAACACGAGGGTTGGTACCCGAACTCAGATGACTTTTGGCGGGTTGATAAGTATTCATGTGATGTTATATGTTTAATTTCTTTTCCTGTAGTAACTCCATACATACTTGCGCTCAACATCCTCCCCTCTCTTTCTCTTACTCGTACCCAGCGCTTACTGGGAGTTCGCCCTCAACGTGCCCGTAGAAGAGATCGTCTACGTACACTGCCATCAGCAAGGTAAGCAAATCTCCTCACTCAATATGTTACAATATAAAGACTAGTAATCTATTAAGATTTTTTTCATATGCACTAATGCAGAGACCTCTTATAGGCCTTGTTTACAGTTTCAGCCAACTGGCTTCGCTATCAGAAAAAAATTATTACTGGCAACAGGTATGGTTTGCGATGCGTCTTAGATAGAAAAGCGAGCGGAAAAACATTTCCTTTTGTGGCCAGAAGTATTGCTAAGAATTTCAACTACCTCTGCGTAATCAAGGTAGTTAATATATGACAGTATTTAAATTTCGTAATAAACACAAAAAATATTAAATGATTCCGTCGCGTGACACTAGTTCGAAAGTTCATTAGTGTTGCGGAGGCAATGGCAGCATTTGTGTCGTCTCCCGCAGGGGACAGCGGAGGAGCGATCGTGCTGGTGGGGCAGGACGGCACTCAGTATCCCCACATCCACTTCCCCAAGGGCGGACATTTGCTGGCATTCCTGTCCTGCCTGGAGACCGGCCTGGCACCCATGGGGCACCTCGACCCGCCGCTCTGGTCGCAACGGGGCAAAGGTTAGAGGGTTGGATTTCTAACCCAGGAGGCAAATGACGTTGAAACGTGTTCTTGACATTTATTCAACGAAACAACACGTAATCAGCATGGATTCAACGTTGATTCTATGAAACAACGTATAACTAAACGTTGATTCAATGTTAAAAGTCTAATGGGGAGCAACTTTCAGTCAGTCCTGAACAATAGTTAATCGTTGAGCAAATTTTTAAATTATGTAAGCCATTATGACGGCAAGCTTAATTAGCGCCAGAGGTTGAGACTAAGAATATAAAGCGCACCCGCAGGCCACCTATGAGCCGCCGGTATCTGGACCATATAACCCGATGGTCGGCGTTGAATCTCCTATAATGTTCAGCTGTGAATTAAAGGTGCCTCATTATGGTTATGGTGCCTCTTCCTGTCCGAAAACGGAGTTCATTTCTTAAGAGGTCATATTTTTTCTAGAAATACATTTAGAAAATTTTACTAACCTGACAATCAACGTTCAATTGTTCAAATAATTTACCTACCCCTATCGCTTTTTTGCATTAAAAATAGAATTTCTCGATTTTTTATTTGACAATGTTTAGCTTATAATTTAAAGTCGGTATGTGGCGCCTGCAGGCAAGGTGTTCCCCAAGCTGCGCCGCCGCGCGCGCGCCTTCGTCAACATGAACAACAGGAAGAATCAACAGCAACAACAACAACAGAAATGTGACGAGGGTGGCATTGAGCTCGCCGTCCACGGAGGTGACGTGAGCGACGATGACGAGACGACCGACTATGTTTTCCGCATCATCACGTCAGACGCCAGCGACCGCATGAGTATGATGAGTGTTTATAGTGAATAACTCACATCCTGTGTGATGATTGATGCTAATACGTCATTTTGACGAAAAAGATGAAAGTTCAACTTGCTTAATGATGCTATGTCATTCTTTTAGCTTTACATAGCTGGATAAAGTCGGCTAGAATAAGACGTTTTATGAACTGACAAGGAAATTATGAAGTTTGCTCTCGATGTCCTCAGGTCACTCAGAGATCATGTCGACGCTGCTGCGTACTCCGTCTACTGCGGGTAGTTGGTTTCCGCGCATCCCTAGACTGTCCTCCAACTCGTCCTCAACGTCCTCATCCAAGTCCTTAAGCCTGGGGGAGTCCCTCTCCGAGCTGTTCCCTCCCCTCACCCCAACCCCACAGTCTGCCCCATGCCTCGACTCCGCGCAGCAGCTCAGCCTGAGGGAGGCGCAGCAGAAGCTCTTGTCTGACTCACAAAAAATATCCCAGCAACAACAACTTCATCAACAACAGCAGAAGAAGCAGCAACAGGAACGGCACAGCACATCCGACGCTGAAGGAGGGACAGACGCGGCTACTGCTGAAGGCGTAGTGAAGCAAGAGGCTAACAGGTAACTATACTACCTTTACCACACATTCATAATAAACTGTTTACTACTTAGCTTATACATGAAACAACCGACCTGCCTTCAAACGCACATTTAGACCACATATCTACCATGGTTATGCATTCGATGTCGACGACGGGATTACACTTGCAGCAACATGGGGATCTGCACTTACATAATTCATGATGTAAATTTTGGTCAAATATAGGAAGAAGTTGAGTGATAAAGAGCTTTTTCTATTCAGGTAGACATCTTATGTAACCGAACACTATGGATTAAGTATGCAGTTTCCGCGCTTAAATTTAGGCACGGAAATAAAACTTATACAAGTTGCTGGTGTCAGACTAGTGGTGGCACCTTGTGCAAATTGACAATTCTTGCCCTATGTAACCGTGTCATTCTTACCACCTAAACCACTTGAACAGCACGGTACTGAACCACTCGAATCTTCCTGAAACTTTCACTACTTGAACAATACTGTAACCTTTACCACTTCAACAATAGTGTTACTCCTACCTCTTAACATCATCACCTCCCGTAACCCCCACCTGTAACACGATAACCTCACCACTAACAACACGATCAACCTACGCTACCACCACCTCTAACGCCACCACCTCGCAGCGACCAGCTGCAGCTGGTGTGCGTGACGATGAAGCAGCAGATCATCTCACGCGCCTTCTACGGCTGGCTGGCCCACTGCCGGCACCTGCACACCGTCCGCACCCACCTAGCGGGGCTCGTCCTGCCCCTCTCTGCCGCTCCAACCCTCGCTCATAGTGAGTCGAGTCAGGGCCGTGCTTATCATCAGCGTGATTTGTGGTGTCAGAGTGCTGGGTGGTATCAGGGTGCTGAGTGACATCAGAATTGAGGTTTGCGTCAGGGTAGTGGGTAGCATGTGGGTTATTGTAACATTGGATGTTGCGGATGACGCAAGATTGGCGGGTGGTGGCTGCAATGTGGTATGGTTGGCACACGTAGCCTTACTGTAAATACTGTACTGTAAACTATGTGTAGCTTTTGTTTATCAAACATCCTGATGCCAATTATTTCAATTCAACGATATATCAACGGATCAATTCAACGATATACTTGAACTAATAGAGACCAAAATAGCTGAGCATGGATACCCTAATTCCGTTTTATGGCTGTACTGTTTGAAGGGGTTGGCGTCGACGTCAGAGGGAGCTTATTGGCTTTCATTCAAAATTTTCTAATTGGTTGTGTACAATGCGTCGTGGTTGCAAACTTACAACTCGGCAAAGAGAGAGTAAAATGCCAAAGGGCTCGGTGCAAGCTAGGATTGATCTTCATTCTCAACGCCGGCATAGATATGAAACTGAACCACACTTCTAAATCGTCTTTTGTGGTCGATGCAAGATTGCAGATTGAGAAAACAGACAATTTGAATTGCTGCAGTAAGACTTGTCTCTAATATATGACAGAACCAATTGAAGGGGATAATCAGCAGTTCAATAGCGCCAATTTTGAGGGACTGAGATACAAAGTTCATGTAGGTCTCCATGGAACACTGCTTCATGGCATCGGTTGGCAAAGAAATTAAGTAGAAGCTTTTCATTTATAGCTTTAAATTTTTGATGAGGTTACGGGGATCTCATATCTGGTGACCTCGCGGCAACAATAATCGCAAAAGGCAGTAGACTGGTGGATCTGGGCTGTCGAGCGAGAGTTCCCCCTTCTGTAGTACTGTTACAAGCTTTGGTCTCCGTTGACGGTAGGTGCTGTGCTGCAATTGGAATTATTTTAGTGGAACTTCACGTCAAGGATCAGCTGGATGGAGACGCTGACGCATGTGCACCTTGAACTTTAATCATTGCAGAGAAGAAAGGGAGAGATATAACATCCTCTAAACTTGAAATATGATAACGCATAGGTTCCCTAAATAGTGACTCTGAAAGCGAGACCTCTGAAAGCGAGACAGTATCATCTGAAAGCGAGACCTACATCGAGATGAGAGGGACACTGTGCAGAATGTCCTCATCGAACAGCCGAGATGCAGTCTAACTCTACTGATGATGAACTTATTTGAAGGGACTGTGGTCTATTCAATGCTATGTCGATTGAGCTGAGAAAGGAGTATACTTTTGAGACCTTCAAGAGGCTACTGAATCCGTTTTTAGCACAGTCCTTGATCGTCTGTTAATTGCAATGCTACTATCAGCCAGAAGCAAGCAACAGCATCGCGTATGAACTGGCCCAACTGTGGTTGCAAGGTACTCGTATTAATGTAGTTTTACTGCTGCTCCGGAGCTGACCTACCTGCCGACGGCTGCATGGAGTAGGTACGATGAAGACGTTGCACGAGCCTGGCCGTGGAATATGACGTTCAAAACTTGATAGTATAACACAAGGTGGTATCTGGGTAGTGGAGGGCATCAGATTAATAGGGGTTGTCAGTTTAAAGAATAAACCTAAGTATTTCATGGCATTGTACAGTATAGCTCATGTGGACAGCGTTGTAACTAACAACAATTGGCATCTTCAAAAGAGCCCTATGTTTAATATCAGGAAATAGTTTTTGAATAATTGCAAACATTTTGGGCAATTCTCTTTAATATATCTTATTATGCTAAAATTGACACTATTTCTCTAGCTCACAATTTAGCTCGATACCCTATACCATAGAGCCATATTGGCTCTAAACAATCAAGCAAGCCAATAATTCATTTATAATTGAACATTAGTAACAGCAAATCTACAATGATATAACAACATTGTTTATGATCGTAGGCTGGCGGGAAGGCCTGACGGAGGCAGTGTGGCAGGACCTCAGCAAGGGCGGCACCGTCGTGAGGGAGCCTGAGGTCTGGGGGAGGGTTTACCTCGGCGGAGTGCCGCACGCCATCCGCAAACAGGTCAGGCTTCTGTCCAAAATCCGGAACTTTTAACACTATTTGCCGCAATTTTCGCCACCTTTTCGAATAGCGAAGCACATAGTGGCACTAAATCCTGCTGCTCATTCCCCTGTATCGCTGCGCTAATGATTGATATACACAGCTGTATTCATGATTTATCCAAACTTTTTATTTTCCATATTCTTTATGGTTCACTTCGCACTATTTATAAACTAATTAAATATTCGATGACCCTACTTCTTCCTGGTCTGGCCCTACCAGCTCACAACCACTTCTACTTACCTCGTTCATGTCACCTCTACCACACAGGTCTGACCCTACCTGCTCACTACCTCTTGTACTTGCCCCCATTCATGTCACTTCTACCACACAGGTCTGGCCCTACCTGCTCACTACCACTTCTACTTACCTCATTCATGCCACGTCTACCACACAGGTCTGGCCCTACCTGCTCACTACCACTTCTACTTACCTCATTCATGTCACCTCTACCACACAGGTCTGGCCCTACCTGCTCGGCCACTACCACTTCGGAAGCACGGAAGAGAAGCGCGCTGCGCTCGATGTCAAGGTTCGCTTCTTCTTGGTCTTTTACAATTTCAATTCAAACCATCAGAGTGAATAAATCTCAAAACACAAAAACTAATTTAATTAGTTTTTACCCGCACCAGCCTCGATCATTGCTTAGTGTAATACATGTTTAAATTTTTTCAGTTCATCCATGTTCTTAGTACGTACAGAATAAGCGATTATTCTTTGGTCTCTGAACATCAAGTATTTATTTGCTCAGTTCCCATGCCATGTCTGTACTACTTTCAGTCTTTACAATTGTTATTGTATTGGTTCATGATACACCATCACCATAATTATTTCATTGTTTCATGACATACAGTCACTATACTATTATTGCATTACATCATGACTAACCATCACTATTATTTTTTCTACAGTATCATGACAAATCAATAAACTTGCTATTGTATTTGTTTAATCGTCATAATTAATATTATCATGGTTCTGCCTGTCAGACGCGCGCGAACTTCGAGGCGACCATGTCAGAGTGGCTGGCGGTGGAGGCGATCATCAGGCAGCGTAACAGGGAGGCCATGGCCCAGAACATGGCGCGTCTTGTGTCCGAGGGCCACGCCAGCGCCACCGACACCCCCCGCGGCCCTGAGGCGCCGGGTCCCTACAAGACCGCCGTCAGCAGAGCGCGCACCCTCAGCAACGAGGTGAGTGCGTGGGGTGTGTAATGTGCATGACGCAGTGAGGTGAGTGCGTGGGGTGTGTAATGTGCATGACGCAGTGAGGTGAGTGCGTGGGGTTTTGTAATGTGCATGACGCAGTGAGGTGAGTGCGTGGGGTTTGTAATGTGCATGACGCAGTGAGGTGAGTGCGTGGGGTGTGTAATGTGCATGACGCAGTGAGGTGAGTGCGTGGGGTTTTGTAATGTGCATGACGCAGTGAGGTGAGTGCGTGGGGTTTGTAATGTGCATGATGTAGTGAGGTGAGTGCGTGGGGTGTGCGTGCGTGTGTTGTGCGTGACGCGGGGAGATGAGTGCGTGGCATGTGTGTGAGGCAGTGCGGTGCGTTGTTTGAGGCAGTGCGGTGCGTTGTTGTTGTTATTGCCTCGCGCCCCATCCCGGCGTTACTGGTCCAACCGAGGCTGGATCCAACGCACCGCTGCTGGGTCTCTACAAAGGTCCACGGTGTTGAGGGATGTCGGATGATGTCAGTTCGTGGCCTGTGCATGACTCAGTGACGTGAGAATCGTTTAAATGAAAACCATGAAGTAATCAATGCAAATAAGAAACTCATATTCCTGCCTCGTTTTTTCGGCGCAGGTTTTCGAGCCCGACACGTCGAGCTTCGAGTCGGGTGATTCTGACACCGCGCGCGCTCACAGCAAGGAAGGAGGCGCAGAAGTAGGAACAGACTCCCGCAGTTCGTCCAGCCGCAGGACAAGCTTGGGCAAGCCTCTTAAAGACTCCTCCTCAACCGGCACCCCCCAAGGGACTCAGCAGTGGAATGGAGGCGTCCCCAGCGGGGAGGTCGCCAGCAGACTGCTGGCAGTGAGGAACAGCGGCGCTGGGGGGAGCGAGGACCGATCGTCCTCCGTGTGCAGCAAGAAGACCAGCAGCAAGGAGTCGTCCGTCGACGAGATGTTCAGTCCGGTGGGTGTGACTTGCCCAGATATATCTGCCGAATTAAGAATCTTATATGTTCAGATTATTGACATGAATATTAAGAAGCTACTTGTGTTTATGAACTTCCAAATGCCAAAGGATTCATGCATCAAATTGTTCCTCTTGAGGTTCATTTTTGCCGTTAATTCATATTACATGTTGGGAATCGAAAAATTTGCTCGAACTTTTATTCGTTACAGGACATAGAAAGCATGGAGTTCAAACGAATTTAATATGTGATATTCTTCAATGACATATTTATTCATCTCAGGAAAGGCTATATAGATATGATGATATTAAGCTGATGGAGCAAAGGTATCTCAATTTATCATGTAACATCTTGAATTGTTTTTATATATTGAATTATTACACAACTACACAATTCTCGCAGGCGTGTGTGATCACTCCTGACGGCACCACGGAGGACGTGCGTGAGGCATGCTCCGTGACCACGCACGACGACTCGCAGAGCTTTGGTGTGTATGCCAACGATCCATCTTATATAACTTCTTTCATCTTATAAGCTCTATAAGTACTTCTCCCCTTCCATCCACTATTTCTCCATGTTCTTCTTTTTCTCTGGTGCGGTGATTCATTCACCCTCACTCACATCATTCATCACAATAATTCCTATCTTGTACTAACCTCGTCATATTACCCATCCAATTCAACCACTGTCCTAAGTCTGCCCTCCCAATTTCCCTAATGATCACTCCCTGCGCCTTCTTCATTCACTTACTCAGTGAATATGATGAATATGATGAATTGTTTGGAGATGATTTTACTCACAATTAGTTTCATCCTATCGCAAGTTCCTTACGCGAGCCCAACAGTTGTCAGGGACCGAACCTAAAACTTAAGGTAATCAAGAATATTGGTTCGGCATCAAGAATATTTGGTAGGCAGAGTACACCTCTTGATGTCAATTTTTTATTTCTTCTTATTGTGTATAGATATATATTATATGTAAATAATATATTTCCGGCTGATGTAAATTTTATATTTCACATTGAATCATAGCATAGAATTCAATACAAAACTTTTTCAAGGCTCGTCGTGTGAGGCTTGCTTCCGGCAGTTAATTATTGTGTTAAAAATGTACGACTGTTGTCAGCTTCTCCCTCGCCTCCTCTCTTTATATCCACTCGCTCGACGTCGCTACGAGTAACTCTCGACAGAAACACAAAATCCCGATCTGTGTTTTCATTTGTTATCCTGCATTTGTATGAATGTGGAATTGATGTTAGATCCTCCCACATGATACGATCTTGTTCCTGATCTTCAGATGTGTTTATCGTAGATGCAAGAACTGACTCCTGGTACTTGAAAAAATTTATGGTGGTTGATCGTCTGTGACAAAAACTCTGTGATTTTGTGCCCGTCAAATGTATTAGCTTAACAGTAGTTGTTTAGTTATGCTATGAAATGAACGAGCTGAGTTTGAACTGCTTTGAATATCATACTGCTAAATTTTTGACCAAGTCTAAGTTTAATTTATGCCAATTAGTATTGAGTTCAGCAATTAATATGATACAAGAGTGCCAAATTTTGCCCATATACCCCCGCCTGGTCGATCCACGAAAATATCCTTGTAACAAGAATCAGTCGCAAAATTATCGTCGTTTGTTAAACATCATGTAAATTTAGAGCTTCGCATGCCATGCTGTCCTGCTATCGCAATTTTTTCGTGTTGCAGCCAAAGAGCTGCCCTCTATGGGCGCTGCCAGCACCACCACACCCAATTTGGTCGCGCTTAACAAACGCTCTCTAGACAGTGGGCACCATTCCCTGGAGTCGTCAGATGGTCCTCGAGGTCTGTAGCCTCGCCGGCAAGCCGCTTTTTCTGCTCAACGCAGCTTTTCTTGCGAATATTTTTCTGTCCGCTCTCCAAAACTTTCGTGTCACAACGCCGGTTGCATCCAAACTTTTCATTTTCAAAAACTTGTTTCAAGTTTTTTATTACTTTGTTGCAAATCTCCTGAGAAACATCGAGAATTTATATGCATCGGGTCAAAACTCACATTTGGTTCTGCATACCTCAACATTTATGTGATATAATAACGTGATAATATAGTATATTGGTGTCTGCTTTGGGATGAGCCCGTGTTGGTTTGTCGCCGATTATTTACCATCTTTTTGATTTGGACCATAATATTCACAGATAGTTGCAGCTCTCCGACCCACAACTCGCTGTTCAAATCTCAATTGAACACTCACTCATCACGACCATATTCAGTGATGTCAAGAAACAGCTTTTCGAAATAATCTTTTGAATTATTCATTCATGAATTTCGTCCATCAGCATCATTCGCTAACTTTTCTAATGGCTTCAAGTGTCTAGTTAACGTTTGAATCCTATTGGGGCCACAATTGAGTTGTTCTGATATGAGAACTCGAAAGGGATCCTTTTTTCGACCGCTTGCATTGCTTCCAGATTTCATGTGAAATAATTGGTTATTGTTCTTGCTGCAAATAAAAATAAACTCATGAGGCAATGGGGCAAATGCATGGGATTATTTATACGCCGCGCCTGCATCTTGTACCGCGCTGCACGAGCCTTTCCATCACCGGTTACCTGCTTTGCATGCACCAGTCGCTGTATTGCATGCGGCAGTTGCATGCATGCTATATACTCGACCACGTGTCAGTTAGGCCAGTTTTCTTACTGATATTTCATTCGTATTTTTACTATGAGAAACCAGTTTACGTTTCTAACATGTAGGCTTATAGCTATATATTTTCTCATATTTACTGCATGGACGCATTTCAAATTTTAAAGAAAATTTTTAGTAATATTGGTTTAAATCTATTTTCCATGCTATTTCTACAATGCCGTCTACGGTTGGAAATAAAATTAGTGTTTTAGGGTGAGAAAATGTAGAGTTCTTTGTGCCTCGAAAGGCTTGTTGGGAACATTTCGTAGCAGCGATAAAATTTGCTTCAAATTGAATTTTATTGAAGCAAAACAGAGCATAAGGATGTTTTATATATGATTAAAATAAATAAAACCACAGAACGCAAAATTCAAGCAGTGGAGATAAATGATCCTTCATGCCTTTTTCACTCCAATAGAAAATTAAATCTTAAGTAGTCAATAAAGAAACAGTTTTTCTCTGTAGTAGTGACTACAAAACTTTTATTTACACTACTCAGTTTCTCGTTTATCATAAGCTATGCTAAATGCTGAGCTGAGATTTGTATTCTGTCTTAGAGGACAGAAAGCCTATCTCGCAGAGGCACCATGAAGCAAAGGGAAGCTGGAGGCTCCCAGGCTGGTGATTGCATATACACTCTGTCCAGTGCAGTCCAGCATTCCCCCAATGTATGAACAGTTAACCTCCGCCTCGAGAGAGAGTGAATTCTTTGAATTGGTCAACTGCCAAGTATCGAAATTCAATTGACATGGCAAATGGGATTAAAATATGATCACTTTAACTATCATTATGGCGTGAACGCATTATTCGATTGTGATTATTGTTCACCATCAACGTAAAGTTAGACTGAATTTTCAGTTGCTAGTTGCTATTCAGCATAGCAGAGACAGTAACAATCCGTGAAATACCCAATCAGAATATAAGTCTACCTCAGTAGAGTAATATGTTTACAGGTGCCGTTTTATGTGGCAAGTGCAACGTTATCTAAAGTCTAATAATAATAATAATAATAATTATAATAATAATAGTGATATAATTACAGAAGTACTTCTGTTCAAATCTAGCACTGGAGTGTACCCTCGCATTTTGTAAACGTGGGTTGAAGAAAGTTGAAAAAAGGACCTAGAATCTTCGTAATATGATTCGATGCTGTTAGTTTGGTTATCGTCTGGGAAAAATAATTCGCGTGTAACCATCTCCTGGCTTCACTTAACTCACAATTTCGACGAGTTACAGCTGAATACGTTATAGCAATTACTCCGTATTCCTCCACGCCAGCATTAGTATCCTTAATGGCAATAAGCAGCTTTGCATATACTAGTGTAAATGAATCAGCAGCAATGCAGTGCACCCATAAACACAAGCATCACTTCCTTTACTCGGTGAATGAAGGCCGCAGTGAACCCTTCTCCTGGAGCCCAACCGTAGTCTGTGTTCTGGCTGCTCTCAGGTCGAGTTTTCTCAACAATTATTAATTCTGTCAATCTATAAAATTTGCAAGTTGAGAAGAAAATTTAAGAATTTTTAACTTTTGCCGCACCCCTTAGCAAGACGTACTCTTGAAGTTTAGAAACCAATGTTCTAACCTACAAAGCCGAAATTCTACCCTAACGGGAAACGTTTTTTTTTTTTTTTTCAGTGAGTGCTGTTTCGGATGAAATAGTGACAGACGACGCGTCGCCTGGCTTCTGTGATGACGACTTGGGCGACGACGCGACGATTGCTGATGTCAGCAGGGAGGACTGCAAAGACCAGCTCGCGGTCGAGGACGTCGTCAGCCTCGAGTCGAGGTCTTCCTGCATCTCTCCTTCGTCGTCCCACGGCGGTGGCGTATACTCGGTCAGTGAGAAGCTCCTGCCTTACATTACTCTATGTTCACCAGATCTGTAGAGAAAAATATTTTACCGCAAGGTTTGTAAACGATGACTTAATAAGTTAATTTTACGGTGAATGTAACAATGTTTCCATAATTTTAAATTTTAATTAGTATTTTACAATTGTCACGAAAGACGTCGGAAATATATTTCTTCTCTGAATTGCTTTCTTGTTGGTTTTTTAATGCGCTATCGAGTGGGTCTGGGTAGAATTTCGGTCTGGGGAAGATTCCAAGTCTGAGAAACATCAACAAACTATAATGGCTGGAGCATTCCAGAACCACAGGTCCGACGGGCATTCGAGGTCTAGGAACCCAGGAAATTTCTAATATGTACGGCAAGCTCTGGACGAATGCCAGACCTCAAAGAAGTATTGTACTTGGAGGCGTTGTAAAAATAGTCTACTTGCATTTCCTGGAAAGTTACAACCGCATTTAGTTGCTGTTGTGAGTGTTCAAGTGATGATTCATCGGCCTTCACGTCTCGTACAAGATGGGTTCGTGTGGTTGCCGTTAGTTCAGGTCGTCTGCAGGGGAGCTTCACCATGAAGTTCGATATTTCTCAAGAAAGTTTCCACCATTTTTCAGTTCAGCTTAGTCATGAATTTTATACGACCAGCATTATAATTTTTTCCACAATAAACTTAAATCATAATGTACATTGTCCCTTTGTCGGATTGAAAAAGTGTTTGGCGATGGTCAGAAAACCGAGGGGCACCGTATGGTAATGCGCTATGCTTTATCTGTCGAATGTAATTATGATTGATTTTTGCTCCTGGAAAGCTCGATTAAGAAAAAAGGATGTTTTTGCATAGAAGTGTTATATAATAGATACAAAGATTTGCTTCTCAGATAAAAATATCCTTCGATATTTTCTTCTGGAAATGTAGTTTGTTGTACTAAACACACTTCACATCATTCCATTCATGTTCTATCATTTTATGAATTCCTTCTCTAGAAATCGCTAAATTAGAGGCTCGCAGCGAAAATAATGATTCATTATTCAAAAATAATTATAATGGAATAATATAATAAAATAATGATTCAATAATACATGATTCAATTCATCGGCTTTTATTGTTTTTTCATTGCGATGCTGTGGTTGAAGTGTTGATATGCCCTCTGGCCTGCAGACGGAGCTGCTGGAGGAGTTCGGCCTGAACCTTCACCGCATCGACAACGACGTCCAGCGCTGTGACCGCAACTACTGCTACTTCACGCCCCACAACCTCGAGAAGCTCAGGAACGTCATGTGCACGTGAGACATAGACATGGCCACGCACTTACGTGAAATGCGTCCGTGTGTGCGCATACTAGAGGCCACGTACACACGTGAGATACGTTCGTGTGTGCAAATACTAGTGTCACGTACACACGTGAGATACGTTCGTGTGTGCACATACTAGTGCTACGTACACACGTGAGATACGTTCGTGTGTGCGCATACTAGTGGCCACGTACACACGTGAGATACGTTTGTGTGTGCACATACGTGTTGATACGTGAGAATCATTCATGTTGAAATCTAAAGATTCGGCGGACTCTGATCGTGAAAATGGCGAGAATGCCAAATTAACTTTTCATGGTATAATTTTTCAGTATTTAGTTTGAGAGTCACCGGAAATTAAAAAAATATATATTTGATACCTTTGGAAATACCTGTAAATTGGCCATGAAGAATAAATAAATCTCATATAAATATTTTAATCTTTTGCGTACGAGCATAGTTTCTTCAATGGCGTAACTTATCAAATAATTCTCGCGTTCGCACACAAAAATACCTCGTTCTCTGACTGGAAGAGTCCCCTCAGGTACGTGTGGGAGCACCTAAGCACGGGATACCTGCAGGGGATGTGTGACCTGGTGGCGCCCCTGCTGGTGGTGTTCGACGACGAGGCTCTCACCTACTCCTGCTTCCGGCAACTCATGGTCCGCATGACCGCAAACTTCCCTCATGGCGGACAGATGGACCAGCACTTTGCCAACATGAGGTATGACCATCCGCGTCATCTCAAACTCAAAAATAATTTAACTCAGTACTCACAGCAGTGAGTGACATAGAGCGCATTTTCTCGTCGACGAAAACTTGAAATCACGGACAGACGGACGGACGGACAGACAGACAGACAGACAGACGGACATGGCGAGCACAATAGTGCATTTTTTCCATAAATGAGAAAATGCGCTAACAACGTACGATCTTGCGTCGTAGTTTTCGTTATAAGAACTATGAAACCCATGTTTATAGTGCCACTCTGGATTATTGGTGTTATTTAGTTCGGCAGAATATTTATTAAAAGAAATTTTCGATGACTTCGATGTTATTCTGTGTCGGCCAGGTCCCTCATTCAGATCTTGGACTCGGAGATGTTCGAGCTGATGCAGTCCAAGGGGGATTACTCGCACTTCTACTTCTGTTATCGCTGGTTCCTGCTCGACTTCAAGCGCGGTTAGTGTTGTTTTGAACGAAGTCATTTTAATTGAATCCTTTAGGATTCAATCAAATCTTTAGGATTCAATTAAAAGGGCTACGTTCAATAGTATACCTGTTGTATATTTTTTTAAGTACACAATAAGTATACTTAATCGGCATGTACTGCAAAGGCTTATTTCATAATTACCAGAATTGTAGTTATATGTAAGGCTCTTGCTATGCTTTAGCTGCAAACTGCTACAGCACGCGCGAACACTTCCATGCCGCCTTACCCGACAACATTGACTCATCGACGTACATTGCAGACGCAATTTAGTCGTATTTTAGTTGAAGACAAAGAAGAATGAATTGTGTTCTGAAATACACATTTACTGAGATTTGTTGTCTGGACGATGCTTCAGAACTGGTGTACGACGATGTGTTTGTTGCGTGGGAAACGATATGGGCGGCCCGGCATGTCTCATCGTCGCACTTCTTCCTCTTCATCGCCCTCGCCCTCGTCGAGCACTACCGGGACATCATCCTCGACAACAACATGGACTTCACTGATATCATCAAATTCTTCAATGGTTGGTGCTCTATTGAACTTATTATTATTCGCTGGTGTTGAATTCACTGAAGTCTTGAGAGGTAACGTCTAATTATTCTATTCCACTTCTCTATCAGTAAGACATATATTAAACAAATTTTCTACCATCAGAAAAATATTAAAAGGTTATATATTGCAGAAATGGCTGAGCGTCACGACGCGAAGGTGATCCTACGGACTGCGAGGAGTCTGGTGACGCAGCTGCAGACGCTCATAGAGAACAAATAAAGACGAGCGACCATGCGTCTTTTGGTCACAACTCCTGCACATCACCTCAGTGATGTTTATCACAAGATACGAGTATTATCGCTTGTCTATCTTACCCGCACCTCATGGGCTGCCCACGTATCTGGATTGCAGAAGCGGACTACTAAAACAACTAAGTCAGATGTTCTCTGGTGAAGACATTTCAACTGATATCGCAAAAATATATTCTGGTGAATTTCGGCTAAATACTTATGATATACCTGGCAAAAGTTCAACTTATTTTATGCCGAATTTGGACTTGTCAGTGGAAACTATGACAGATGCAAATGTTTTTGTTTCTCAAATATCAGCAAAAAAAATCTATCCTCATTTTCTGACTGCAATTCAAAAGTTTTCCTTCGATTTTAAACACCCAAGCTCGTCATATACGAATCTCCTAGTCTCCTTCAGAGCTGCTCGCAAGATCCACGTGCTTTGCAAATCGTTTTTTCAAAAGTAATAAAATGAGATTTCCATGTCATTTGAATTAAGATAAAATAATCAAATTAATGACTCGTCAACACGGGGAGTTCAACGTTACCGCATGTCTCGACTGTGAATAACGCTAATTGCAACAGAACTGGAATATAGATGCGGCTACATACACCATGTACTACATATCCTGTGGAGAAAATAAAAGCTAAAGGCTTATAGGCTCCCGACGTCTTGTGAGCGCCTGTGATTCTGAACGCCGATGATGGAGATGTAAGCGCGATTTTAGCATCTCAAGAGTCGCCGGGGTCCCAATACGGTTTCGTTTGTTATTATGAACATATTAATGAAAGAACTGGTTAGCTTATTGAATGATTCCGTCTGTGAGTTTTCAGTGAAGAAGAACAGCAGTGCGTTTACAGATGCAACAGAACTCGGGAGATACTCGTGTGAGTGATATCAATTCTCATATTACGACGCTTTCATCACGGAGTGGAAAAAAGATTCTTAGTGGAGTAAAGTCCATTACCGATATTTCTGTGTGACATTTAACAATATTTTTTGACATTGAAAAAATTTTCCCATGCATCGGATGGAAATTTTGTAGCGTTTAAAATATGTTATTAGGAATTGTGGCTCTGATGCTTGACTGTAGCCCAAAGGACTAAGATCTGAAGAAATGTATTGAAGCGAGAATGTATCGTAAGAATAAACTATTATTGACGTCACTGAGTGAATGTTGTGCAACTTACTTGCCAAATCATATATTATATATCAATTTCTAATTTAGCTGTTAACGTACATGATAGTATTTTAGAAAGTAAGTAAATTGCTATCGAGGAATATATTACTTGACTATCAGAGTGTTATTTATATTGTTTATGTTGTGATTGGCCAGCTATATTGTCTGTTGTTGATGTTCAGATATATGATGTATAATTAATATAATTTCTCAATAAATTATTTATTTTTATAGGAGAAATGTAGGTAGAAAAGTGACGATTGCGGACATTACTGCTTAGGCGGTAAGTGCATTTATATAAATTTGCCAGTTAGAGAGAGAAGTTCGCTCAACAATAAGTTGACTCGAGCATGCTTCCTTTAGATAAAAATATTAGCGTCGAATTAAATGGAATTGAATGATATTTTTATCATTTCCAGTAGAGCGTGGATGTTATGACAATTATATTATGTTACCGCGAAACCCTATTGTTGAGCCGTAAATTGGAAGCTATAACACGCAGCTACATAGCTAAGCATGATTTCTCTACTGCATGTATTTTGGCCTCACCTTAAAACGTCTGCTATGCAAGTCGTTTTCATGGCTGTTTCCCAGCAATGGTTCTTCACGTTTCATGTTTGCTACACGTTCAACTGGCTACTGCCGTAGAGTGAAATGTTAAAACCAGGAGAGGAAACAGCCGGGCAAATACTTGAGGTGAGAAATCCTGCTTCTAGTGCTGTTCGATACAGCTTATTTGTGGTCGCTTTTGCTCTGTGCGCAAATTATCGTAGTCGTGCTGAACTATGTTAATTTGTGACAAAAATGTAAAAGATTCCAGTATTTGCATATTTGATCATTTATGCCCGAGTTCCTGCAGTTCACTGAAATGATTCATTATATCTATAGCCTCATTTTGATGAGGCACTGACAAAGGCTTGTACTCATGAGCCTCGCAACTATTGCGCGCGGCTACATTTTACTTTCAATAAACAAAAGAATCTATTGATTCCAGTATTCATAACAGCATGAATATGACGACCTAATAGACTGGAGAATTTTATGAATTCGGCTCTAACCCACAATTAAGTTCCAAGCGCTGGCCATTTGAGTTGATCATGAGTTTTCGTGCCACAAACCACGCACCGTTCGTTGTACCGACTGTACTATTACAGAAAAGTTATTCATCTAATTATCGCCTAACACAGTATTCTCTGGTGAACATATTGTGGTCAAGGCAACGTGTATTGTTTCACCTCGAAATGGTGTTTACGGTGGGAACTTTCTTCAGCGTTTGGTTTTACCCAGACGGGTAAACGAGGAAGTGGGAAAGACGAGGGCGCTGCTGCTCCTGAGGCTGTTTCAAAATTAACGCATTGAAATCGACATCAATTTTTGGCTCCGTAAATCAGGATCAGGGCAATGCATAGAATTTTTCAATAGATAGAGAACCTCGTTAGATACGATAAGTCTCACATGACACTCTTCATAGGTGAAGTTTAGTGCTAATCCAGTGGGTGTTGTGTGATGTCTGATCGTACGTTGGAGGAGCTTCAAATGTAATAAATTTCCAAAAAAAAATCAAGTTTGTGCTTGTTTAGCTTATGGGTAAGCCAAACCTGATCATATTCTAGTCAAATAAACGTGAATTCACTTACTTAAGCTTCTGATGTTCGATGGGTCAGCCAGCCCAGGACGCAGCAGCTGTCGATGTGTCGAGTGATAAGCTTTGTGATTCGTGCAACGCTGTTGTTATCACTAAGGAGCTCTCATAGGGAGTGAATGTTACTGTACGCTTGTCGTTCTGCTCTCTTCTTGTGTGTTGCATACTTATAGGTGGATATTATGCATAGCTAGTCAATATACCGACAAATATAATACTTATAGAACAAATATGTATGTTCTTGTTGTTCAGTGTTGAATATAAAAAATTTATCACAAACTTTATCCGGCCTGTTAAGTAATGAAGTAAGTTATTTGGATATGATTTGCAACAGTAGCGCTATTGTTAGTCACCATTTGCGCAGTGGTAGCGGCATCGAGTTGAGAGAAGCTAGTCGTGGGTTCGAGCCTCGCGAAGATCAGTTCATTTCTCGGTGTCACTGATGTAGCCTCTTTTGGTCTCTGTCGATGAGTAGTGCTTGCAGCATAAACTTAGGTTGGCGTCCTCTGAATCTCTGAATGAACTATGGGGACGTATCACCTGGGGGATGTTAAGGTCTTCAGTGCATACTGATAATTTGTGTTAATAAGTATGTCAGCTTTTATTTCATCACTGGTGGTCTCCTCTATACGTCGCAGATGTCCTCACACTTCTCGCCATTGTCATCTATGAGTTATATTTACAGGCTTGCTTAGTCTTGAGGTTCCGTTCATTCAAACAGATGACCATCGTCAATTTCAGTATTTTCAAATTAATTAACCTCCAGAAAATTTGTTACAACTGTTTCAAGTAAAGTATATTGATATTGAAGGCAATCATTATTCGAAGACACAGCTGTTTTCTATCATTTCTCGGTCAATAATTTGCTTGATAAGTTGACGACTTTTGTTCCACACCATTTGATCGTTCAATGGTCTGGCCATATAGAAGTCACTGCGTATATCAGCAACATGTGAATGGTACCTGTGCATTCCAGTATGTACCTCCTTATGCATTCAAGTTCTTCTGCTGCGTGTACTGACCAATGATCGTCTTCAGCAGTACTGGCAAGACTTCTATAACAACTCACAGCACATCATAGCACGCGCTGGAACACGCTGGTTATAAAGAGTGCAACGAAATACTTCGGTAGCGATGACTCTCTATATCTCCTAAAATACCCAGCCTGCCGTGTATCTCCTTTCAAACTTTTATCTTGACTGGAAAGCGAAAAAAAAATCATTTTCAGATGGCGGTGTGCATGCGTTGGAATGAGCGATGGACACAAGTGCTGCCTCGGTAACTGGGATGTATGCCAAGGAAGATAGTGATTAAATTATAAGCTATCGTAAATTTAGATCAGGGATATAGGAAGATTTTTGTACATCGTGTTGCTATTGATATGTAGAAGACTTGCACGCTTTCACCAGTACATTGCACATGTATGTACGGGCCGATGCTGTGCGTCTGCTGCTGCGATTTCAGTAAAGGTATTCTCCGTTAGACAGGCTTCTGCCTGCAGTGGTAATTTTCTGTTGGTAGTGACAGTTATCCGTTTGTAGTGACAGTCATCTGTCAGTAGTGACAGTCATGTGTCTGTAGTGACAGTCATGTGTCTGTAGTGACAGTCATGTGTCTGTAGTGACAGTCATGTGTCTGTAGTGACAGTCATTTGTCGGTAGTGACAATCATCTGTCTTTAGTGATGTAGTGACAGTCATTTATCTGTAGTTACATTGTGACTGTCATCTGTCTGTAGTGACATAATGACATTCATCTGTCTGTGGTGAAAGGTGACTGTCATTTGTCTGTAGTGACAGACACTGTCATCTGTCTGTAATTATATAGTGAAATTCATTTGTCTGTAGCAACGGTCATACGTTTATAGTGGCACTTATCTGTCTGCAGTGGCAGGTTTCTGTCTATAAAGGCAGTGTTCTGTCTGATGAACCAGAAACGAATGACACCTCGTGGCTTGAGCACCGTGCGGGCGCTGTGCGGATCTTTACAGCGTTTCTGTTAGATTTTTCTAACAAATTATTAGGTTGAAACATTTGTTTTGAAATAAATCTCAAGAAGTATTGAGTAATCGTTAGTGCTGACAAAGAATGAAACGCTGGGAACGATATCTCTACTGTATATGTTGGGGGAAATAGGGTTTTGCACTAATTAATTTTTAGTTCTGATCCTACTCATTTTCAAAATTCTACAATACTTTAGAAATGAAAACTCTTAATTTATTTGCGACGTGATAATAAGATATTACACTCATGCATGAAAAAATTTGTGTCTCAATTTGTGGCATCCAAAAGTATATTCTAACGAGTCCCCTGCGACAGGATTCGTCGACTTTTCGAACGATAAGTTAATAACGCTGCCTCTTCCATTCATATCTTATCATGGTGTGTTAACACAAGTGCTGTCTTGTGCAATGTGGTATAAACGGACGATGTTCAAACTGAGCTAACTTATTCATGTAGTGAGTGCTACATATGAATCCACGCTTATACCAGCTATGCCGACTGGTTCTCCTATTAAATTGCACAGTCCTTTGTTAGACAGGGTGCTTCCGCTCCCTGAATTGGTCTCGTTCAGTACACGTGAATTGTCAACTCGGCATCTCGGAGGTTGATGGATGGTAATTGGTGGTACTCCGGTTATTCAAGCCTTGGCATCTGTAATGCAGAGTAAATCCAACCCCAGTCCAGCCACCATCAGGAATAAGCAAACAACATCTGCTGGCCCAACCGAGGTCTGCGGGGTAAATATGTTCCACTGTCCTCCAGCATGGCCCGGGACTGCTGCTTCCGAAACACTGCAAGGCTCAGCATCTGATGATAATAATAGCGGTTTCAGCGTTTATTAGGCCGTAGGCCTGTCGCCAATTCTTAACATCGCAGAACATTCACAGCTTTTTGCGGTCCCGAACTCGCAACTCACTGCTACAATTCTGCTGTGCTTAACAGCCCGGCCTCCTTGCCGATTCTGACCAGAAACTGGCGCACAGAGCTGGGATCGAACCCGCGCCTCTCTGCGCCAATCGTGGTACTCTGAACTTTAACCACTGGGCCATCCTGCCTTACTGAAAGCGTTTTGTCTTTTTTACCCACCTCTTCTTACGCTGAGACAATCGCCGATGTTGCTCCCGCTGATTGGCCTATCAATAAAAAGTAATTTTCCACGAGGAGCCTCATAACTCTAAAAAAGGCCCCACACATTATGTGTCGCATTCGGTGCCAAATTGAGTGTTCTTTATTTTTTATTTCGACCATAGATATGCACTGATGCGATTGACGATTAGGTTTTATTCTCTTTAATCTAATGGCATATCCTTTAATAAGTGTTGAAGGTACAATTCGTTTTAGTTATATTGTAACCATAACTGATATGTAATTTATAGCGGTAAAGAGGTTGTCCGAAGTTTAATCCATTTTTCCATTTAACTGTTCAGGAGATGGAACTTCGTCGTGCAGAACTTCTATTCTAGCGGTGAAGTGAAAGTAACAACTATACGATTTATCTTGAATTCCATTCTTGGCCTTTTTTATTAAAAATAAAATTTTGATTCCTGGAAAATTAATTGAAAAGGGCCAGTGAACTTCAACAGTTTATCGTATTAGTGTATATGTGCTCTACAAATGAAAATACGACTGTGGTATTTTCAGTGGAATTAGTTTGTGTGAACATATAGAAAATTGCTTTCATTTCTTTAGATGAATCTCCGTGGCAGCCAATAATCTTTTATTTGGGTTTCATAGTTGCTTCTCATTGCTTGTAAAGTTTACAGCCTGAATGGCGGATGGCGTTAAATTCTTCACAATCCATGTCGATGGAGACCCTGATGGGTTTGTCGACTCATAGATTCTCATAATTCACATATTTGTTACGTGAAAACGAATGGAGTAACTTCTATATTATTTATTTATTATAATTGCTCCTACAGTCCTACTACTACTCCTGCTCCTACAATTAGTTGTAATTCTATCCGTTCAAACTTTACTTCTGACAATTAATGTACTAACCATGTATGTTAGGATTACTGTTTTATCCAGTCATCAATAATACTACACGCGTGCTTCTTATACTGCTGCTATTACAAATATTTTTTCTCTCGGTGTTGTTTTCCTTTATTTTATTAATATAAATGGAATATAGTATTTATAATTTAAGTAATTTTTTTAGTAACTGAACCATTAATTACTTATAGACGACCACTACTTAAATTCTCCGCATTTCTCCGTAACTACTTCTACTACTGCTTTAACTGCATCTAATTTATGCTGTTCTTATTCAATTTCCTATTTTTCTACTTCGTCATCAAGCTGGCGAGTATTTTCTATAACTACTAGGATCATGTTAATATTGAAAGGACTGATGCGGTAGGCCGAGCTTATCAAGGCGTATAGAGATGGCATGTTTTCCTTCATTTAAAATTTATTATTGCATTATTGTACATGAATGTCTATAGAAATAAAATATTTTCTAGAACTAGAGAAATATTTTCAGATTCTTGAATGTCGAATACGATGTGTTATGAATTGTTATGTACGGTTTATCTTCTTTGACTCAACTGAAACAAAAGTATACAATATTTATTGGTTTTATTCCCTATTTATCGCAACATCGATTAAGTTTGATGACGAATTGTAACTAATTTTTATAGAAATTTACTTTAAAATACAAAAAAAATCAATTAAATTTGTCACAATTCAATACCATAAATGGGCTGAAATCTCATGCCAATCTCCACTCTTGTTAGCCAGTTGGTTGATATTAATAATTCGGTGTCCGATTTTTTTTCAAATTGTCGAAGGAACATATTCGTTTTTGCCCATTAACCCACCACAAACGCCTTTTACAAACGCTTTATTTAAACCACAAAACATGGGCTTGTGCCCAACGTTGCATATTCAACCGTAAATATATTTTCGAGAAGCTGTCCTTTAATCAACACAGTCTGTATGCGACTGGAAAGGAGTAAACGGAGCATTTTATTTACTCCATTCACGCATAATGCCGCTGATATACAGTTGTGCAGAAGGGTATTTTTGAACATCCCTGTTTGCAATTGACTTCCCGGACCGAAGATTGGACATCAAATTCAGGAACTGCATCTTGATGCATTAATTTACAAGTTGATTCTGCGATAAATATTCCCTATAAAACTATTCGCAAGATATTAGGATCAATAGAAACAAGCGTGACGGTGGTAAAACGAAAACTATTCGTCAATCGAAATTTACGAATGAATCATTACATGATATGCAACACGAAATAAATGTGACCTATTGTCCTATCCATAATTTTGCGACCTATATCCAGGTTCAGTATTTGTTTGATGAGGTGGAATGGCATTACCTTACCAAACCAAAAGTACTTTTGATCCGATATTATACATTATATACGTCTACAATATGATTCAAAAGTTTCTCAACTGGTCGGGTTTTCTTCTTATGTTTTGGGCATGAGCTGAACGCATGCCTCACTTCTTGCGATTTCATCCATTTCCGTCCAGCGAATCTGCTCGATGTATGAAAGTCGGTGGGCTTCTTTTGTGATGTTCTGCTTCTGCCTTTCAGCTGCAGCTGCTCGCAGCAGCTGAGCTTTTCTAGAGTTCGACGAATTCTGAATACACAACAAAACACCAGCGATGAGGGCCAGCAGCAGCACAGCCGATGCAGCACCAATGACAATCCAGAGCAAGACGCTAGGTCGCCACTTCTCGTCTTGTGGTTCATCCACCGACTGCTGCACTGAAAAGAAGTTGTCTGTTTCATCCTCATAGTGTGTTGTTACTGGTGGGAACTCTTTTGGGTCGTCAGCTGGGAATTCCACGCCTGAAAAAAAAACAGTAAGCCATTTCAGATAAAAAATTTCATTATCTGCATTAAAAAAACCTTAGGATATTTTAAGGAGCGTTAATTTGGCAAATCTTCCTAAGTATTCAAGAGCGCTAATATTATATATCAATTGGCTGACACTGGTTTCAGATACATCCTCATAAAATAGCAAGATTGAAGGGGAAAAATCCTATACATTACTAAAGTCATTAAATTATTGCCTAACGATTATTTTTAGGGCTCCATTGCATTGGGTCCTTTTGTTTGCTGATTCCTCACAACCTCGATACCTCCTATAGTGGTTCAGTGGCAGTCGCTACCTGAGCAGGAACTATTCCACTTGAAGGTGATGGGCCCCCTGCTAGTGACGGTGACGCTGACGAAGGACGAGTCGTTTTCGTGGTACCTCACAGACTCGTTCTCAGGCGCCACGAGCGCCTGGTCCAGCAGCACCAGCAGGTAGCGCTGCTCGTATCAAAGACAACTCAGACTCCGAAGCAGGTCAATTATTGCTATACTGGACAGTGTCGTTATGTGATGAATCAATGTGGGCTTACTTCACAATTCAACAACGATAGTTGCATTAAATTGTGAAGACTTGTTGAGTATGTTATTCCGCTAATTCGGAACAATATATGCGACCATCAGAGTTTTCTTCATACAGTCCTTTAGCTTGGGCCTGGAGCGGCAATAACATTTAACATGTTGAAATTAAACACATCATCCCTGCCTAATTCGAACCGGTTCCTACATGGCAACACTTCCAATGTTTTCATGCATAGAAAGAATATAGTTATTTATCAATTAGTTGTCAGACAATATTATTCTATGTGTTCCAATCTGACTTTCAAATGTCCCAAAACCTAGCGATACGTTGCCTAACCATATTTAATCTTTCGAACCCATTCATAACTTGATAAAACTTAGCTTATATTTCCGGTCACGCCTTCACCTAAGCCCACTCATCTTTACCTCACCTAAGCCAGATCATCTTTACCTCACCTAAGCGTCCATCTTTACCTCACCTAAGCCAGCTCATCTTTACCTCACCTCTTCTGTACCTCTCCTAAGCCAGCCCATCTTTACCTCACCTAAGCCAGCCCATCTTTACCTCATTTAAGCCAGCCCATCTTTACCTCACCTAAGCCAGCCCATCTTTACCTTACCTAAGCCAGCCCATCTTTACCTCGCCTAAGCCAGCCCATCTTTACCTTACCTAAGCCAGCCCATCTTTGTGTCACCTGGTCTAGCTTTAACGCACCAGGAGGCCATACTTTCAAAACTTGCTAATTGATCGTAAGTACTTACGCTCTATTTTCTTGTCCATGATTGGTGGATTTTGCTTGAAAGGCCGTCAATGATTGGCCGATGAACTTACGATCTCTTAACTTTTTTTGAAAGTATAGGCCCAGTCAAGTACGTGTCTCTCGTCGCTCTGCGTACCTGCCGACCGGCGCCTCTGACGGCGGCGCGGTAGGAGAGCTCGTGCGTGCCCTGCTTGAGGAGGTCGTGGTCCACCTTCACGGTGCTCGTGGCGGCGTCGAATATTTCCCCTTTAGTGACATTAACGACCATGAACAGCGACAACTGAAAATTGAACACAGTGAACTTGGCACGTCTGTGAAAAATTTGGTGGGGCCCACATTCAGTCCAGATTCATTCAGCACAATCTGTATTAAATATGTGAGTAGTAAAAATCTGTTGTGGATGTTGAACGCAACAATGTGCAAAGTTGTAAAAATAAACAGCCTAGTAATTGAACGAAAATCTGGTTAAAATGCTGCTATTTAATTTATGGAGCTTGTTACATATGCTGATTTTATACTAAACCACCGTTGATCTAAGTTGATAAAACCACGAAGACTTTCGATCAGGGTGTTTCTAAATTATTCTATTTGTTTTTTTTTTATTCAATCAAGAGTGACTTGAATGTGAATCGAAGGCATAATTACATAAGATAAACCTTATAAAGTGTAATGTGTTTTTATGCCGTTTTATGTGAATATTAAGCGAAAATTCTTATATAAATTCAGAACCGATAAATAGTATAAAGCTAACCAAAAAAATTATCGAAGTCCTTAGACTAATTCCTATGTGATAAAAATAACTTCGTATTACATGTGTAGAGTAGGCGTTCGATCCAGGGCTAATGTGCAGTAAATATAAGTACTCATATCATGAAGATATTTTGGATTTATTTGCCATTTCCTTTGCTTTTAAATTCTTGGAGAGGTAAATTTTACCCACCGCACAGCCAATAGCCGTGGTCCTAAACTGTGATATGCGCCCCAGTCCCCACTAATTGTGCTGATGACACTGCAGCTGCATAGCTTGCAAAAACTTTTGAATTAAGCAATTTTTAATCAGTCATTTTATACATATCCTAAAAATTTTACTTCTGAACAGAAGATATTATACCTATTGCCTTACGCGATCCAACCTCTTTCAACGGCCCATCATAAAATGCAAACATTACATTTGGATAATTCGCAATAGTTTTAAGCCCATTCAGTATTTAGGAAAGAATAAAATAAATGCGAGATTCGATACCAGAAGCTGCATTTGCCATCATTTTGTATTTAGATCAGTGATTCAAAATCTTTCGCTGAGTTCACAATATGAAGCCCTGAGTAAGCTCCCATTTAACTATCCATCATAAACAGCCCATCAAGAAACGTTGGGTTACATTAGCTACTTATGACATGCAACATTCCGAACAGCGCTGATTAAACAACATGTTACATGTCACATAATCTTATGCGTAAGCAACGCTGAGTTAACATACAGGATCTTCAAACACAACCTTCCTAGTATCGCTAAGTTTATCATGCTACTAATAACATACACGGCCTTCCAAGCATCACCGGTTAAATATGTTGTTATCAGACAACATTTCACAAGCAACGTACAATGTTGCTTAAGAGATTATTTTTATGTTTTGTTGTTGTTTTTATGCTATGATCCTACCAAACAAGGCCCATTCAACATGCTACTTAACATTATTATCCTCTTGAATTTGACCGCGTTAGCATGCCTCCATACATTGGCTTACGGGGTACGCCGAGTCAACAAGTCATGTCACAATAGCTTCCGGGTAAGGCCATTAAGCATGTCACTTCAACACTAAATGATCTTGCTATTAATACAGAACTTTCCGAGAGACGTCGAGTTAGCATGTTTTTTTAACAACACACAATCTCTCGAGGAACCTTAAATTAAAATGCTAATTACCACACGCAACTTCGAGAGTAACACGAGTTTGTCACTCTCATACAAATTTACGAAGACAGCCTAGTTAGCATACGACACTCTCAACTGCCCAAAGCAACACCCTCTCAGCATGCTATACTCGTCACGATCTCTTCTGAGCTATGCTGATGTAGTAAGCTACATATCACAGAACTCCCCGAGGAACCCCGAGATAGCATGTTAATCATCACACACAACTTCAAAAGGGCATTAATAATAATATATTATATATAATTATATATATCATATAATATTGATAATAATGAGGGTATTATAAATATTAAACAAACCGAAGCGTTGTAGCTCCATTGAATTTGCTCTTCTATAGTGAGGCCCTCCGATGCATAGTCTTCCGGGCTACCGACTCTGAAGCAGAATGTCATCTCCTCCAGAGGCGTGGTGAGCACAGTTTTTTGCGGCCCGGCCTTCACTCCTGTAAAAAGTTCTGCATAATTCAGAGACCCGATCTCTGGGTCAAACTGTTAACATACTGTCAGGCGACTTGTTGCATACGTCACCACCCATGTTGTCAGAAGTATCCCTCACGTCACCTTCCGTGACGTAGTTGTAGTAAGCGTCTATGTGAGCTCTTCAAGCTAACCACAAGTTAGACATAGGCCAAGCCTCTAAGGTCTAAGCTGTAGTCTACTCGTAGCTCATGAGTAAACTCGTCCACTAAATCTATCTTATCGACTCCGGCACTAACTCCACTGGTGAAAGTGTCGTTAACTCAACCTTCTAATCAACTTGTACCTACTAATATCTACTCAACGTGCCTCACCCTGTAATCCTATGTAGTATTTACTAATTACTACTTTGGAAGTACCCGTCTCATCATTTATTCCTGCGATATTGGTTATTGGACCACTAATTGAATCCCAGACCCTCATGAAAGAACTATATTAATTAACGACACAAGCTAATTAAACATTCAAAAAGAACATCAGGTTGTCACTGAACCGAAAACCTGACAATACTGGTGCAAAATTAAAATTTTTAACACAGTTGAAGAATCATGATAACTGATGAGCATGAGCTCAAATTTGAATTTAATTTCACCTTTTACTAGAGGATTTATATATTCGAGGAGATATATATGTTTGCATTCGTTACCAACAATCCGATTCTAAATTTTTTTTATACTCCGAATGTTTGTTCAAAGAAATCAAACCACATCGAAGACATTGAATGCAACGTAGGTTTTTATGACAAGGTTCGGGAAAAGAGGAAAATCCAGCCTCGCTATTCTATGTCTAGTAAATTGAATCATGTTTGGAAAATAAATACCGAGAAGTTCTTTGAAGGCAAGTAAGATTTGAGATCTACTGCGCAGGTATTTATTTACAATTTACAACAAGAAGATCGAAACACATACTTTTCCTTATTCTTCTTCTCACAAATGTGTAACCATTTTATAATGGTCCAGAGAGGTGATGAATATATTCTGCAAGTGAGTCAGACAAAATCAGTTACCTAATTTTTAAGTACCAACCATTAAAATACAATAAAACTAATATTAACAAAATAAATTCCTACATATATAACATACTTAGAGGGAGGAATGCAGAGCTAACTCTAGTCAATAAATAGTCAGCAAATACTGCCTTAATCGCAATAGTTTAGCTATATTTACTCACGAACCCCTCTGCTCACCAAGGCTCGTGATGACCACAATCAACAGCATGAATTTCGACGAATTTCCCGTCATGTTCGTCATCAGAATATTCACTCGAGATGAAAAGTTCAGTTCGGAGCTTTGACTCAAACACAATTCAAGTTTCACAAATATTTTTTCAGTCAGACTGGCTCTTGTACATTATTAGATTTACCGTCAATGTACAGAAGAGTCAGGAATTGCTAATACGTTATAATGAGCGCTTCTCTTCAAAATTCTTCACTTCAGGTAAATTTTCGTTTATAGAAGGCATGTGCATATTCTACACATGAAGTATTTTCTTAATCTCTATTGAATTCAAGACTCCTAACCAGTAGTTGAACGTTTCCTTGCTTCAGTTCAAACACAAACCCGTTCATATTACTTTCTTCTCGTGATAAATTTTTTCTTTGCACATGCGTTTGGCAAGCAAGCAAGCAAGCCTGCACTGTACACTTACTTATCTCTACGTTATCTTTATAAGAAGAGTGAGACGATCGTTCTAAATAACTGGTAACCATAAACCACTATAATCAGAATTTTATTTCATGGCGATGGATAATGAAATTTGACCTAAATGTTATCTCACGCAAGAGTTTCAACATGTTCTTCTGTATTATTGTATTTCCATGTATGCATGATGTGCAAAGGTGCTCCGTTCCGCACTGTTTTCAGATCCTCATCATGAGAGATGATGCGGAGCTTAAATTCCTTGTTCTGTATTTTAAAGATACCCTCGTCTCACATCAATATTTAACACTTGTGAAGCAATTCAAATGGCTAAATAAACACGTGCTCTATATGCATATGCCCACGTTATAAAGACGTACTCCGCTGCTGCTGAAGACGCGCGCACCACTGGCCATACTGCAAAGACATGAGATAACACGAACTGCCAAGAGACCTTATCACCAAAATGAAATGATACGCTTACTGCGTTAATTCCACATGAGCTACCACTACCCGCAATTATGTAGGATGAAGTTTATCGTGTCCAGTCGCGATTCGTTCGATGAGACGGTTTCTACCTCAAGCAGTTGGAAAAATGGGTCGCCTGCCGAAGACCACAACTGCCCTGGATATAATGGACCATCATGATTGTTGCCTACCGGAACGTAGCCTTCAACACTTCAAGCCGTCCGTATCTAGGCCGTGGGTCGAACCAGCCCTCGGTTGAACGGCCACTTGTCGAAGGACGATAAATTTTGGAACAGAACTATGCTATCTGAAACCTAACCTCAGATGCGGTGAACGTAAAATTACGTAATTTAACGATGCCTGGAAGTCATATTCGATCCGCGGCCTGGTGGTGCACGGCAGGTGGTGGTCAAGGCCGGAAGAGGACAAAGCCGAGTGGTGCACGGCTGGTTGGTGTAGGTCAGGAGAGATCCAAGGCGTTCGATTCAGGGCTTATTGCCCGTAGTTATTGGTGCACAAAATTGGTGGTGCACGGCTGCGCTCCCGGAAAAATCAGCAATTGAATTATTGTAACATGATTGGTGTAAGGAGAGCATTAGACTTGAGTCAAAATACTTTCTAAATTTCACATAAGTGTGATTGAATGCTTTATGGAAGATGTGCGACGTGTGACTGCTTATAGTGGCTGATTCTTCCACTTACTGCTTATTGTTCAGTCCAAGTATTAAATCTAAATGTAAACGAAGAGTTAAATGAAGCTCTAATCTTATTACTGACGATAGTGCAGTTACTCTAATAGAGGTAAATATATCGAAAGTTGAACACATTTAATTATTATCAATTTTATCATCACTTATTAACTTTGAATCGATGTCAATATAAGCTGTTTAATTAGAATATAGAAGTCTCTGCCGACGATTGCTCTAATAAAAGTTATTAGAGCAATCTTAAGGCAGCATTTATACATATATACATATAATATATATATGTATATATATAGTTAGGATTCTTGTGATTAGCTGACTAACCTATACCAGAAAATAGCGAGCTTCGGGCATCTTACCACGATGGTACGTGGCGGGAAAAACCCATTCACTTCCTAGCAGCTTCAGTATCATCACAGTTTTTCGGACGCGATCGAGTTGACTCGGGCAATTTTCCGGATTTTTCTTCATTTCTGTTGGATTTTCTTCCATTTTTTCCTCAGTTACAAGCCGGAAAATTGTGATTAGGAGCTCACCAACACGGAGATCAGCAGTGCAGTCCACACCTGATGAGTATCATTATTAGTGATAACGATGCAATAGGACATTAGCGATCACCTGTTTCTGTTACGCCGCAGATGATCGAGTTTTTCTAATATTTTTCAGCAGGAGAAAAGCGAGTGATATTTTCAACAGCATTAAGCAGTAGGTGTCTAGGTTAGGTTTCAAAAAGTTTTTAAGGAGTAGAAGATTCAGTTTTTTTTTAAATTTATAAGCATTAGATGGCCTAGTTGAGCGTTTTTCGTGTATAAAACTTGATTAGGATATATCATACATAGAAAGTCAACTTATCTCGCAAAGGCAAGACGTGCAGTATCACATTTTTCTTCGAACTGGTAATACCATATAGAGTTTGAACTGGTAATACCGTACGAACTTTAAACTGGTAATACCATATAAAGTTTGAACTGGTAATACCATATGAAGTTTGAACTGGTAATACCATATGAACTTTGAACTGGTAATTCTAAATGAAGTCAACTCACCACGACAGAGAAAGGCTTCAAAAAGTTGCTGAGATCCTTTTTTACGCCAGGGCGAGGCAGGATTATTCCTGTACCGTCCGTGACAAGCGCGTGTGAGAAGTCGATGTAGACATTCCTCTCGTGGCTTTGAATGAAGGGACCGGGAGCCATGTCAACCTCCTGCTGAAAGGTTGATGTTTATTTGTCGAAAAAGATATTGTTTAAAAGTTTATTGTGTATAAGTCGAAGATAAGGATGAAGTTTGACTCTTACCTAGTAAATAATTTAGGACAATGAGTATTTCATCGGTTAATACGTGCGATGAGAGTTTCATTCCCTCCGCTTGGTAACTCATCATCGGGCTGTTAATACAAGATAGTTCAAAGAAATACAGCGACTGTTGGAACAAAAATAAAATAAAAATGAATGGTAACGTTATGTGTCATCCCTCTAAAGGAGAGCACAAGTTTTGAGAATATAGGTAATAGTCTTTGAAATAGGTTATTACGAATAAATAATCTTGCGTAAAAAATGCCTTGTTTTGCCAAGTAACAAAACTACATCATTTCACGATGGTAGGCAGGCTATGAAAAGAAATAAGCGATGTACTTAATAGTAATAATATGTAATAATAACAATTTGTAATTTGAATAAATATTTACATTTTAATTTTATAAAAAACTATCATGCAAAAATACTGAGTGAAAAATAGAAATTTGGAATGAAGACTAGAATTGGTCTGGCTTGGAAATTGTAATACCAAATAACTAAGTAATAATCAATTTGTAAATGGTCGCCCTAACTCGCCCCTCTGACGACCATGCCTATCATTGAAAGTCCCATTTCTGAAGTGGGTGCCCCAGATGCCGTCAACACAACGAACCAACCTGAACCTGCCACGCGGGGAGGAATATATGACTGTAAAGTAACACTCTCTCCTAAGTAACAGAGTTTAACAAAAGTTATTTACTATCTCTACTGACCGTGACCAATTTGGAACATGCCCATGGGTTTAAAGTAACACTCTCTCCTAAGTAACAGAGTTTAATAAAAAATACTTACTATCTCTGCTGGCCGGGACCAATTTGAATCCTGCCTATAAGTTTAAAGTAACACCCTCTCCTAAGAAACAGAGTTTAATAAAATTACTTACAAGACTAACTGATAGAGATCAACAGGAACCAGTCTCATGTTGGGTAATATAATTTTAAATCAACAACCTCTCCAAAGTAACAGTTCAACAAAAATTTCTTGCTAGACAGACCGATAGTAACATGGAGTATGTATAAACTGTATTTGCGTGCGGATATTATGAATCCAATATACCAATTACTTTTTTTATTATAAAATGTTCGGTCTCTTGGTAACATCTTTCTAGATGTTATACGTCTGTATCACCGATCACTTTTCATGTTGGACGTATGCGATATATTCTTTTTCATTTCAAGTTATTCAATGAAATTAATTTCTAGAGTTTGAGAATTGAATGAACATTTCTCCATTTCATTGCCTTGGTCCTTATTCTCTGCAAGTATGAAGTAATTAGACTCAAAATTAATTCTAAAAGATTTTAATACTATCCTAGGTATTTCTTCAGTACCTCCCGACTACTTGCATTATATTGACTGGTAAATATGTCTATTGTGCGATATAAGCCCCCGTAAAGTGGGAGCGGTTGGTCTCTGCCTCTCTAGGGAAGTACACGTAGGGCTCCCTGGTGTCGCGGCCGGAGCAGCGTACGTCCTGACAGCGCCATGGCGCGAGTGCCACTCGCCGGCCACATGCTGGCCTACCTCGTTATATACCCGCTCAGGCTTTCCTGGTCTACGTCGGAATAATGGACCTTAGATGCATAATCAGTTCAAGAATTGATCGATCAATCGTTAGTATGATCATAAATGTTAAATTTAATTATTTCTTCATTACACGTTAGTTTGATCATTAACTACGTTAAATATTTAAGTACGATTATCGGCTTCATAATTCCCTTCCAAACAGTCTGTGAATTTCGATATAATTCTGGGGCATATATGGTTGATTCCGTCGAAGAATCAGTCATCGCCGTGTGCGATGCAACCTGAACTTCTAGTGATAACTTGTTTGTAATCTGAAGGCAAGTTCGGACTTAAAATTTTATTTAATATTTGCAAATGTCAAACTTCAAGAGTGCAGATGTTGCTTCGTTCTTTTCTACTCCATTAAAAAGCTAAATAATAAAAATCGTTCCGTTAATAAGTTGAGATTCAGAAAATAGTGAAAGAATTTAAGTTCAAGGCTTTAGTTTGTATTTAGTTTGAATGCAAAATTTGTTTAATTCCCGAAAAGCTAATTTGAGAAATATTTTGCGGAGGAAAATTAGCTATTTAAATTTAGTAATTTGTTAAGATTATAACTCAGGGAAAATCAAGATTACAAACTGGGGGCGAATTCCAACTGAAATCAAGTCTTTGCAAAACAGGTTGAAATTAGATATAATGAGAGTGAATGAAAAATGAAACGTGAGGTGTGCAGCAAAATTTAATATCTTGAAACATTGTTGGGGACTAGTCAATAAATAAGCAATATAATAATACACAATGCAGTAATGCACAATAATAAACAAATAAAACAAAACGTGAATAATTTGATGAACACATACAATAGCGCAATGCGAATTTGTTTCCAGTTTCATCTAAAAATTTTAATTTAACATAGCCTGGTGTAATTTGCGGTTGTTATACAGGTTACGCTTGATAATTGATAAAAGTTAGAACATAGTATAAATGCTTAGTATGAAACCATCTAATTTGAGAATTTAAACTAATTTCGATAAGCTAATTTTGACACGCAATTTTTAATTCATGCGGTAGGCTGAAGACTAAAGACAGAGACCGGAGCTGATCTGCATACGGGTGTAAATGTTCAACGAATGACCTCACGAATGTGTTACCGTGTTATAGCTAGAGGAACACCGCGCGTTATTATCAATAACGTAATTTTAGGCGGCAAAAATTATGACCTATGGTGCGAGGTGCATATTATAGTAGGCACACCATCTATAATCTATACAATTATGAAGATTATCATAACATCTATTCTGAAAAGTCTGGAATAAGTACAGTACATTTGATGGCAAAAGCATATTATCTCACTACTGATCGAAGCACGAACATGTAAGAACTATCGCCGTAACGCGCTATTGGCTAATGATTTTCAATT